ATTAATAAATACTAGTCATACTTTTTGTAAAGTTTTACAAAATCATCACCCCAGACATCTGAAAGTCCGGGACATTTACGTGGACACATTAAGCTCCAAGATTGATCAGCCTCAACACGTCTCATAAATTCATCAGGTATCCAAAGAGCTAAAAATAAATCTCTAGTTTTTTCTTCTTTATTGCCAGTATTTTTACGTAACTCTGTATAAGTATATATATCAGCATGCCAAGGCTCAATGTAAACAGCAACTGCCCCTGGTCTCTATTAAACCCAAATACATTTTTTTTTTAAACAACAAATTTAAGCTAAATAAAGTATGGTGTATACTAACCCTTCCACCTTGATCAATATATTGAGCCAAATCATTAAGAACTTTCAATGGTTCAACAAGACCGTGTGATTTATGTTTCGGATACTTTGTCCATGCTGTACCAGCAGCACTAACATTGTGGAGATGTACACCAATACCACCAGCAGATTGAGAAATTTTGGCACATGTTTTAACTGTTTTACCAAAATCTTCCAATGAATCTGATTTATTAGCCACCAAAAAACAACTAAACCAACATTTTGGAAAACTTAAATCAACTTTAAAAAAAATATATAATAWTAAATAGGAATTACCTTGAAAGTTGAGGTCTAGGAGTAGAAGCATTGAACATTGTTGGTGAAGCATGAGTAAAATACTTAGAAGACATTAAATCATAAGTTTCTATAGCTGCGTCAATATCTTCACCATGAATTCCAATTGAAACCCTCATTAACAAATGTTGAGGACGTTCTACAACTTTTCCATTAATTTTTAATAAATATGACTTTTCAAGTGTCTGAAATGTATTATACGACTTATGTTGTAACTAATTAAATTATTAAAGAGTAACTCTGAATCTTAGTCTGTACCTTAAATCCAAAATAACTGTAGGTATAATCTCTATCATGTTTAATAGCATTATTTAAACGATCAGCATGTTTCATGACAATATTATAATGAAAATCAGAAATTATTGGCATACGACTTTGGTTTTGTTCATTGGGCATGTTATACAAATCATAAATAACATCTATAATAGTATGAAAAATCAAGCAATATAATATTTATAATTAAGGATAGAGTTATAACAGAATAAATTATATACCACTGAAGTTTTCTTTAGTTTCTTTATAAAGATTAGAAATTGCAATACGTGCAGCAAGTACAGCAAAATCTGGATGTTTAGTTGTTAAATAAGCAGCTGTTTCAGCAGCTAAATTATCAATTTGTACAGTGGTTATACCTGGGCACAAATCACCAATGACATGAAGTGTAATTTCAGGCTAAAAGTAAGAAAATTAACTATTAGTAAAACATTAAYTTTCTAGTTAGGCAATTAATATAAAATTATTAGTTTAGTTGTAAAAGAGACCTCTTATGATTAARTCATCATAAACATAAAAAAGAAAAGTTAAAAATTTAGATAAATTAATTATGATAGGGATCTCTAAATGAAACAAATACATTATCTAGGTAGGTAGGATACAAAGGTAAGTTTTGGACAATGATTTTACTTCAACCTAAGCTAGTATTATATTTACAAAATGTATTATAAACAATAAACTTACATAGGTATATTGTTATAATATAATATTTACTAATTTAATTTGAGACAAAACATACTCAGTATAATTTACTTATAAATCTATTTCTTTCAGTTCTCGACACACATAACACACTTATTAAAGTTATYGTGACAACCATTATATAACAACATTGTACCTATACCATGTTAGATAATTATAAATAATATCAAACCATTTCTCTTATTAATCAATTAAAACAAAATTTATTGTCATCTTCATCACCAATTAATTTTCACTGTCCTAGATTTAGAGAGAAAATCATTAAAAATGAAAATCTAAAAACATATTTAAGCTGAAAAAAATCGCTTGATTCCCARGTCCTAGTTGATAAAYCCAAAAAAAGTTTGTAAGTAGCCACAATTTAAGCGGTGTCAATTGTATGGGTATATTCAGAGGTATCGTTGCGACACACTGCAGTAAATGTTGACTTTATATGGTCTACTGTTAAAAATGCATAACACGGACACTTTGTACGGTCGAGTAAAAACGTACATTACAGAATGCGGCCAGAAGTACTATTATATACAAAAGGTATATTATATTGTAAATATAAGTTGTATAACTAAGTAGTATCTAAGTATATCAAAGTAGTCAATTACATTGTCATGACAAACTTTATTAGAAATGTTATAAATATAATTTGAGAATATTCTCTGGGATATCAATGGGAATCGATAGTAATATATCATTATATAAATATTATATAATATTTTATTTGTCATTTTGACATATTTCATAATATACAGTACATTATACATGTAGTTTTTAAAGATTTTTTTCATAGCTTTATTTTATTTTCCATTACATTGTTAACATTTTTAATTTACTCAAAAAAAATAGCTTTTAATACATAATACATAGGTAATACAATATTTTATAACTACCTATTTTTTATATTTTATTTTTTATTTAACTTAATATTTATAATATATACTTTATACTTTATGTAAATGAAAACCCTATTGTAGCATCACTTAATCTACAACATCATCTATCTCTTATGGAAACATGGTATAAAAATTGGAGGTTTAGGGTGAACCAAACCAAATCTTATCACACGACTTTAAACCTTAAGCTAGGACACTGTCCGCCAGTCACTCTTTATGGCACTCAAATTCCGACTRCTCCMAAAGTAAAATATCTAGGCCTAACCCTCGACCGTAGACTAACATGGGCCCAACATACACGGGTGAAAAGACTTCAACTAAACCTCCAACTTTGTATGCTTAAATCTTTACTAGTCAATAACA